CCAGGCATTTGATCGCTCACCCATAAGCATCGTCAGTATGAAATATGTGGGAATGCGTAAGCGTTGACAATAATTTTGAAGGCATCAGGTTCCAAGAAATGCCTGAGGCGATACAACGAGATTAGAAATAGCAATTAAAAAAGTATGCATGTTTACATGGTCATGGCGACGTGCTTCTCCCACCAAAAGCCTTTCGTTTACAATCCACCAAGCAATGTGACGTCTCGTTCAGGTCTGAGTTTTTCCATCTATTGATACCACAAACCACAGCTTCTCTTTCTTTTCTGCTTGGAGCCTTCAAGGATACAGCCGTTCTTTGTCCCTTACATAGATTTTGGGTTGAACCAAGCCTGAAGTTCGACAACTGACATTATTGACGATTTCCAACGTGTCGTGACTTACTTGTTGAGAGGAGCATGGCTCGGGAGCTGGGCGCCATCTGTATGAGACGATGTGCCTGTGTGACAGGTGACTGGGCAAGTCTTTTTTTGAATGGGGTGTACAAGTGGCCATGGAAGGACTATCGATCCCTGGGGCACTCCATAGGTTACTGTTTCAGAGTCGTCAGTCGACAGGGGTGGTGATAACATGGTCAACGCCTCTTAGCGGGATGGATGACGCTCTACGGGTTTTGCCTCCATTATGCCACTCACGCGCCTCGTCCGGCTGCACACGTGGGCTCCTCGAGAAGCCACAGCGTGCTGTTGCCTGCCAGCGGACGCTGGGCGGTGGTGGGTGAGGACGCTGGGCGGTGGTGGGTGAGGACGCGTGTGACATCAGCTGTGGAGACTGTCGGGCCGCTGTCTGATCTTGACAGCGGAAAACAACGGGCCCATTTGACGTCATGACGTCACCATTATGGTGTTGTATGTCCTCCTCAGTGGTTGGCGTGGTCTATCCGGCCTTCGCGATGACCTCCCAGCTGACGTCGCCAGGACCGTGGTCGTCAGGGCACGCGCATACCCTAGCATGTGTCAAAGCTCGTGCCGTGTCATGAGATGTCACGTCGCGTTTGAAGGAGGACGGCGCGGGCGACAAAGCTTCAGCGAAAAACTCATAAACGAGATTGGAAGTAATAATCGCAAGCCCTGATATCATATTTAAGGGACAAATTCGGTGCGGATGGAAAGGTAATGAAACAAACAGGCTTCTTTTTATAAAAAATGGCATCATAGGGAGCCATGCGCGGTGTCAATCCTTAAACAGGCTCAGAAGCAGACACATTAACAAACACATGCTATAAGCAAACAACACGCATCCATAAGAAGGAACAGGTCCATAGATCACTACCAGATGCAGATGTTGTCCGAAGTCGGCACTGTAAATTAAAAAGAAAACGGAATGATAAGGGCTTTCGAGGCAGGCCACTGATAGCCGGACCTTGAGCCTGCTCCCTGAAAAACGGCAGAGCAAACTATGCAATTTTAATCGTGACGTGTGGGCGCAGGTTCCGCAAATGAAAAGGTTTCGACACATTTTATTTATAGACGACTAAAGAATCAAAAACTAACATAAAAGGTACCTCGACTCCGATCCGTGCTTTCGACGATTTCGCGTAGTTCGTAGAGTCTTGTTCTGTTTTATGACACTATGTCCAGGTCAGTAAATTAGGTCATTCCTGCAAAAAAACAAACCCAGAATCTTCAATGAAGTTTACAGCCCGTGCTACAAAATTCATTCAATTCGTTCGACTTCAACCCGACTTCATCACAGGTTTTGGTCAAATGGTTGACTCGTCTATGTAATCTCACGAAATGAAGCTTGCCGTTGAGACATATAATTTAAGTAGCGATCAACCCAGTATCCCAAGTAACCACCGATGGAAGGAAACGCTTGCCCAAACAAACACTTACCGCTACCACTGACTGAGAAACTATTTGCTTAGCTGTCGTTCAAATTCGAATGACATGTAGTTACCTTCAGCTTGTTTACATTGTTTTAACCCTGCCATGATAGGACTGCTATTTCCTAGGGAGGAACAGGGAAGTTTCTTTTGGTCCAGTGGCTAGCTGTCATCTGGTGGTTGAATTAATGTGGTTGGTGCACAGATTGAGTACATAGTTGAGTATAATTGATTTCTAGCTCTGCCACTTAATGGAGCCAAGCACAGCGTGTCCTGATGGGAAAAGGTTGGGTTATTTTACATACGTAACTCAAACCGACATGTTATCAGCCCAAACACGGCCTTAGATTTGGAGGAGGGAAAATATTTATTTGATGACGGGATGGTTGCGGAGAAGAGGGGGAGCAATATTGATCATCGTTCCTTCTCCAGGCCATGACTCTGCACAGGCTTTACGCCTAATAATGACTCGCAAGTCTAGTGTCATACTTCTATGGCTAATCCTTGTATTTCATATAAATGCCCTGACTTATTACTTGCCGTCGATCGTAAGTTACACAACGGTATGCAGAGAAATTTCAAGACGGCACACGAAATAGACCAGCCGTATCTAGAACGGGCAAGCTTGTTGCATTTTCCTTTTTACATTCATGTACTATATCATTTGGTTAACCACTATTCCGCGTGCGAAATTACTGAACATTTCTCAAACGTAATCTTTGTCGTTAAACTGTTATTCCGCGAGTGAAACACGTTTGCCGGTCGCGTTCGCATAACCTTTGCGCAGTGGTCACAACAGCAATGGTTCCCTGATTGTTCATAATATGCAGTTGAGTTGACAAGACTACTTTATTTGTAATGGTACCTTGACGGCAATGACAAAAATACTCAGTGATTTAAAACCCAAGCGGGCTCTTACCTTTCCTAGATATTTGCAACAGGATAGGGCAGTGTCGTAAATCGGAAGGCGACGTCCATGATTACGGCTGGCATTATCTAACAGTAAATGAAATTGCATTATATGAAACCACCTTTTTGCGGCCTATACGAAAGGTGCTTGTCTCGGAATCCAGCGGCGCTGGGTCCGAGTCACAGACCGAATGCGCGTTGTTTGGCTCGACTGACATAGAAAGGTCAGCAGGTAACTGACTAACGAGGATCAGCCCAGGCCCGGGGCGGTCGTGTCGCAGCATTGAACGGCACATAAAACTCTCTGCAATTCTGTCTGGCAAACGCGCGCAGGCAAAATTATCTATCCGTTGAACTGAACGGAAGAAGTTGGGCAGTGGGCTCACGGTAAACGCAATAAGCGATGGTTATCGGGTACCCCTAAATTTAAAGCCAGCTATGCAAAGCGTTCTGAATGAATGTTTTTGATAAGCCCCTTCAATCCAGGGTTCACACATATATGTCCTTGTTGCTTTTGATGTCCTCGTTGCAACTGAGAAGTCATTGAATGGCTTTATCCGTGTTATCTGTGGCATCTGTGGCACCTGTGAGGCAGCTGCAGAGCACTCGCTCAATCTGTGGCTCATTGTACCCCAAATGGTTTTGCTATGCATTCCTTTAAGCGGACCTGTTGAAAGAGAACCCTAATCAGACTTTTCGACAACAGCCTCTAGCTTCTGACACTTGTGAGATAGAGTTCGGTGATTTTGTTAAACACCGTGTTTAAACACAATCCAGAATTTGTGTATCATGTTGCGGTCACTGCCGGCTCTGTAAGGAGTGTTTTGGGGCATGTCGCGGAGATATGAAGCATTTTCGTAAGTCGCAATTAAAATTGACACAAAGTGCGCATTTCCATGCAAGAAATCATATCTCCCGGATGGCCCATTGAGGCGATACATGTTGACATGTAAGTTGGAGCTATGGTTAATGCTAGCCGTGTTTGCAGGATTTTGATACCACCTCTGTTGGCTGTTGCCTCTACCATTACGAAATCTACTTCTTTTTAAGTCTTAGAAAGTAGGTCATGCCATGACAATTACATTTTCACAATTTTATAGTAAATATTATTTTGACTGCATACCCTTAACCTCTGACAGGTCAGGACCAAACCTGCTCGTGAGGCCATTATTTCATGTGGCTGTCATATGATAATTATTCATACTACGACAACGCGACGACCGACATTCGGCTCAACGTGGCGAACTGTTTCACATCACACTAATAGTTGAAGGCAGTGTAAACAAACATCTGTCCGTTTCACGCTGTATTCCGAGCTGCGGCAGATACACGCGAAATGACAAGAGTGTATTCGTATGTGAGAGTACGTGCACACCAAGCAGCATAGCCTTATTTGTTGTATTGTGATGCACGCTTCTGTGTCCTTGCAGATGGGCCTGATATGGCCTTTGAAGCCGAAACGTCCGAAAACCACCAATCATCATGTGTCCTTGTATGCGCATGATGACTTTGCAGATAACTGTATTTGAATTGCATCAATACATATTTACAGATTAAAATATGTAGAGCAATGAACATGCTACAGATTCAGCAAGGTCTAAAATGGCCACACTACAGCTGACGGGCTAACCAGCGCAGCCTGCAGTCGTAGACATTTGTTTGCCTCACGTTTGGAGAGCCATCGGAGCTCCTCATCGCCTTCACGGCCTGCCGGGCCTCCGGCAATGATGTCTGCCGCTGTTGTCAGAGACCATCCCGCCCATCAAATTGTTGACAAAACTGATGTTAGCTTGATGCCAACATTATTGATCTTCATCTCCGGGTCTCCTCAGGCGTGATCATCCGGTGTAGAAGCCCCCTGAAGTGTTAATGGGATCGCCAGCTGGGCTGAGTGCAGGCGCGCCGGCCTGGTCTTCATTTCGGTGCGCTTCAGGGAATACAAGTGACCTCTCCAGCCTTCCCATGACGTGCCAATCGCGACAATGACGCCGTCTTCATTGGCCGGCGGCGTGCTTTCACGCAGATAGATACCATTCAGGTTCGCCAAGTGGCACGCATTATACCACCAGCCGCCGAAGAAGTGGTTTGCGCAGTCGATACCAGCCGATGCGTCGTTATCCCTATCCTTGGTGCTGAATTGCTGTTCGCTGGCGTACGCCATCGAGTCTCCGACGTCGCCGGTGAAGTTGCCCAGGTGCAATCGGTACTGGTCTGCCTCGCTGTCCACGATGAAGGACGCGTAGCGGGCGAATCGTCTTGTCGCCGTCAAAGTCCTCCAGTTCGATTCGCAGCTCCTGTGGCTCGCCATAAGTGAGGCGGTGGAGCAGTTCGTTGCCGAGCCAGAACTGGCCGGATACGTTGCCGAAGCCGTCGCGGTAGCTCTGCCAGTCGCGGTAGAAGTCAAGCTGCTCCGTGTCGTCGCCACGCCGCTGGAACACAGGTCCAGCCGCCGCCAGCCGTCTCCATGTCGCAGAACACCCACGCAGACGACATTCCCCGCATGGTCATGACGTACGGTCCGCTGGAGTTAATGCCTCGATCCAGGAGCCGGCTGCAGCCGTCGATGACGCAGCAGCCGAGCGTGGTCAGCTGCGGCGAGGCGCAGGCGCAGACACCCTGCTGGCAGGAGGCGCCCAGCTCGCCCCGCCAGCACTCGTCGGCACTCAGGCAGTGCTCGCCGAGCGCGGCGCGGCCGTTCCTGACGAAGGCGGCCAGCGCGGTAGAGGCGGCGGTGCTGCCGCCGCGGCGCGAGGCCAGCCGGCAGTGGAGCCCGCCGCCGGCCGGCACCAGCTCGGCGGCGGCGCAGCCGCGGTCCACCAGGCACAGGTGGCGACAGTGGCAGGCGGAGTCGGCTGGCCAGCTGGCATACACAGCAGCAGCCGGCGGCGACCAGTCGACGGCCGTCATATGCCAAAACTGCAACTGGTCTTGCCAGCCGACGTGTCTCCGCAGCGATGGCTTGGCGGCGGCGGCGGCGGCGGCCCAGAGTGTCACCGGCAGCACCAGCACCGCCAGCGCCCTCTGGAACGGGTGGGGACGCCCTGGAAGTGTGAGAGGGGCCACCGTCAGAGACAGAGTCAGAGTCGCCAGCTGAATCTAGGACATGTGGATGCCTAAGTGGAGCTGTCTAAATAGTAATGCGTCCGGGTAAAGCACACGGCGGAACGCTGAGTCAGTTCACCCCAGACATTTTCCACATGCCTAATTTTAAAGTTACAGAAATTCCATAGAGTAGAAACTGAGAAAGCTCTGGGCCAGCAACCTTTTCTGCCCCCCAAGAGTGCAACCTATACACATGGGCTCCCATTAGTCGGCGCCTAAAAATATCGGTGACAATATTAGACGATACTAGTGGATCATCACCAATACAGGACGGATTGAAGGCAGCATGCGACTCCCCATCAGTCCTCCTCATACTCCTACGCTTGTCGTGTGCCTCTGCTCGGTGTGTTGGTGTGATAAGCTTGTGTGTGATAGTGTGTGATATGTATGTGATATTGAAGTGACATGCTTAAGGAGATCTCGGTCTATGTTCAGCGCTTTTCCAGATTCGTTATTAAGCGATGGTTTTTTTCTCACTAGATGCAGCCGCAGTGCCAAGTATTCACAAGAGATGAAAGGATGTCGCTGGCTTAGTTGAATTACGCAAAACTGGTCTTACAACCAGTAAATAGAAGGATAAACGCCGAAAAGCAAGAAATGAGTGATTTCGAAGAAACCACACTCCACTTAAGACATTATCACGCCACCAAAATCTGCGAAGTTGTTTGGATGACGATACTTGGGTGTATGTAAGCTTCCTAAAAGATTATGCTGTCAGTTTCTCAAAGGTATCGATGAGATCTAGAGCTGACTGCTTAAGTTTGATGTATTGCAATGTTGTTGTTCAACGAAAAGTATGATCTCTGTAGCTTAGCAGGCGGAGCGCCAGACTCGGCATGGGCTGCCGCCTGGCGTGGCAGGCCGCTCAGACGGCATTGTTTGACTTCCAGAATCAGTGGTTACATAGCTCTTCCAGGACGGCCGATGATGGCTGGCCTTGGGAGTACCAGGCCAGGACAGCGCTGCCCTGCCGCGTCGGAGCGGGGACCGCCTTAAGAGTACCAGGTCAGGACAGTGCTGCCCTGCCGCGTCGGAGCGGGGACCGCCTTAAGAGTACCAGGTCAGGACAGTGCTGCCCTGCCGCGTCGGAGCGGGGACCGCTTTGAGAGTACCAAGCCAGGACAGTGCTGCCCTGCCGCGTCGGAGCGGGGACCGACACATTACAGATCCCTCTGCACTGTTCGGCTTGAGACCGAGCAAAAGGTCCTCAAAACCAAATTACAGCATTGGGGTGGTGGGGTGATGGTGTTTACAAGCTCTCCTTGAATCTGCTTGGTCTTAAATCCTCCACCAATCCTAGCAAAATATTTTGCCATTTTTATCCGACCCATAGGTGTTGCTGTGAAGCTGGTCTGGATGGGGGGTATTTCACAATATGTATACGGCATTTCGATTAGTTTGCGATGCATGCAACAAATCCAGTTCTCATGCTGAGGTTTTCAGGTTAGGTTAAGGTCTATTTAGCAGGTGACCCACGACGAATGCAGCGAGACAACAGCAGGACAGCCAACAGTTGGCTCGACTTTATGTGAACAAAAATAGCTTTGAGCTGGTTTTGTCAGCAGCGTGAGTTCAGAAGTCCTACACTCACAGTTAGCTGCCTTCATATGCCAGGAAGTACCGGTAAGCGAAGTTATTAAGCAAACAGCAGCTATATTGCCAGTACTAAAATCGTGATGACAAACACAGATTGGACCTCGGATACTGCCAATGCAGCGAATGTTTGCCTGATGCAGTCGTTTTCTCAGTACCTCCTGGTATCAGAGGTACACCTCATGGTCGATACCTGTCAGAATAAGAGCCTTGAACTCATAAATATACTGTCTTGAGCCGGTAGTATTTTCCTCTTAAAGCGAGCAATTTGCCACCGTGCTGCAACTACTGCGTACGTGCATGGGACCCTTGCCGGGTTAGATTCTCGAGGATAAGCCCACTGGACTGACCGGTCGAGTTATGCGGTGCAGTGCTGGGTGCTCAGCGCGTCACGTTTGACGCACGGTTGGCATGTGTTTGTCAGTTGCATGTTATGACAATGGCTTCAGGCTGTAGTGCACAAAGCTGTGATTGCTTGTCGCGTTCTGTTCATTGCAGAGCTGTTGCCTCACACATAGAAGTGTTTATTGTCAAGACATGCAGATAATAAATGGCGAGGAATTGCGCGTGGCATTTCCATGAAGTATATTAAACGTATTCAATATCAGCGAAGATATTTATGCATGGTGATGAATGGTCGCCAATTCTACATTGCGCGCACGATAAAAACCGACTGTCATCATGGCTTCTCTACGAATGCTATCCAATCTTTAATTATGTTTATCTATGCCATGCCACGTGTGGCTTCTGTCATCACACTAGAGATTTCCGGGGTCCTCGCCGTCCCACCCCTTCGACTGCCCGTCCTCCGCGCCCCAAACCATATTCCAAACACCCACCTCCACTCCGGCGCTGTCCTTCACACCCCAAACACCCACCTCCACTCCGGCGCTGTCCTTCGCACCCCAAACCACACTCCAAATTACCACCTCCACTCCGGCGCTATCCCTTACACCCCAAACACCCACCTCTGCGCCGGCGGCGCGTAGCGTTTTCGGTCCTCACGCGTTGTCCCATGATAACAGCTGCAGCCGGCAGCCGACGTCGGCTGCAGCTGCCGGCGGCGAGCTTCAGCGGCAGCCGAGGGCGCCCGAGTGCCACCGCGCGGGCCGCCGCTGCCGCCAGCGGCCGGCGTCTCCATGGGGAGGGAGCGCGGCGACGCCGACGTCCGTGCCGCGGCCGGCGCCAGCACAGGCAAGCGACGCGGCCGGCGCCAGCACCGGCCCTCGCCTCAGCTGGTGCCAACACAAGCTAGCGCCGGCACCGCCGGACATGATGAGCACTGTGGTTCGTACATGAAACCCCGGTGGAACTGACACCTCGTGCTGTGGTTACCCGGTGGCTCGATAACTGCAGATGTACCCAAATATCACTGAAATGTTAACGCGAGATGACGACAGGCTCAAAACAGGTACGTTGCTGATGACGATGAGATTGTCGCGTAGAGGCATTGCACTGCATAAGTCGCGACGGGCATAGGTGTTTGCAGAGTAACTATCCCCGTGTAGCACTCATTTGTGCATAGGTTTTTTGCATAGAGGTCAGTTGTAGTCAGTTGTAAGTAAAGACTGCGTAAGTTTTTGTAAAAATGTCATCGCGGATAAGGTTTTTGAAGAATGCATTTTGTCGTGTAGACCGTTTGTAGCAGACGTAATACTTCACAGAGCTAACGTCGAAGTACTCCTGTCGGTAGGGGTTGTTGTGGTGCTAATGTCATGACACCGTTTTGATGGACCGGTAAAGCGACACATGCGTGTGGGGGCAGTGGCGCTCGGTAGAGGTGCACCAGTGCTCGAGTACATGCCGTTGTTTAGGAGAGTGGCAGGCGTTCGGACAAGGCTCCTATGCGCGGAGCTGTCCGCGGACGATTGATATCATCCCGCGAACTTTGTAGTAGTTCAGAGGCAACGAAAATGTACATGTTCGTTAGACTCACCGCGTTTGGGATCGAGTGGTTGAGCACTGATATTAGTTTGGCAGATAATGGTCCGGTGGTTGGTAAATTGCTGGAATGGATGAAACATTTGATTTTGTGCGTATCTTTCTAGCACCCTGTATTTCATGCGCCAAGAATAAGACCGTTGCTGCGGAAAATAAGCAAGACTGCAACGCAATGTTTTGACTACAAGTTTCATAGATGATCCGATCTGATCTGGTCCAGATCCGTTGTACTACAGGGCTTGTGTTTATGATCACCAGCAGGCTCACCCAGAAAATTTGGCCCTATTTAGCGGCATTGACAAGTCCTTTACGCCTAACCGTCCGTTGAAGCGAGTAAAAGTTAGACTACCCACTGTCATTGTGGTCTACGAGGCAGAGCGATGATGTTCCTAAGCTCATTATATCTGACAATCTCTACTCATCTCTGTGACACCATGCCCGTGATCTCGAACGTTTGCTGCCCCCTGCGCCTAGGATGGAGCATCACGATTACCACTTCGCCTGCATCACCTGCTCCTGCTACTCCACCGCGTCACAGGGCCCGGCCGCGGGCCCGGAGAGGCCATCCTGGAAGCGCCCGCGGCGCAGGCCTCCTCCGGTGATGTCCTCGTGACGGCATGGCTGCTGCAGATGACGCAGACAGCTGGAGAGGTAGGCGTCCGACGAGGTAGACACCGGGGATGCAGACCACTGATGAGACATCTAAAGACGTAGATATCTGGTGTGGGAGACGTCCGATAGGATAGACATCTGGTCAAAAGTCAAGCAGAGCTGCGCTGACAGCGACCAGAAGCGCTTAGAATAACGTTCTGCAGTTGCTCTTGGTGCTTTGATGTGGATTGGACCAGCCACTCTGTGCCTGAAGCGTTTGAGCTGCAGTGCTTCCCATACTCATCACGGCGCGCACGAATGGAGAGTACTGAGTTAAGTTGGTGTGAAATGAAGATTCTTCAATGGTAGAATGCTCAAACGATGGTCATTTCATGGAAAGCTGGGGAAGCCATTTCAGTATACGTCACACCGCACATTGTTAACACACGCTCGGATGGGGGTCAATTTGCCCCCCCCCCCCGCCCCGAAGGTCTTTCTGAAATGGTTTTCGGACGGCGTGGCGAAGTGGCGACAAATTTTGCATAGCTAAGACAATTAAATGGTGGATCTTCTCGCATGAAAAATGTATTTACCTGGTAAGATCGCTGCCCTATGGCAGGTAAAATTCCGGTCGTGGCTGTTAGCGAAGGCAGTTTCTAGGGGCATACTTGATCTGATGCGACAGCGGGATGTTACACGAAGCTTATATCTGAAAGAGTTTCGTAGGCAATAAAACAACTGAACTTAGGATTATAACAAACTTCAACGGCCTGAAGGCCAGACCAAGGCCCAAATGAAGCACTTTTTACACGAAAGCCTGCTACAACCGCCGTAGGTTCTGTGCTCAGCTCAAGATTATTCACAACAGGGATCAAAACAGACATTCTCCATGGACTTTTAAAGGTCAGAGTACGTCACTGGATTAAAATGACCAAGACAAACATTCAGTTTTCAGTAGCATACCGCCCAGCGTAACCCTTGCGCTAAAACAAACGCAAAAATTTTAAAAACTTTTAGGATTTTATCACCATGGCCTAAATGTCACACGACGTAACTGACCTTAAATCAACACCACAGACCATTTGCTTAAAAGAGATATCTAGCCTCAAGGTGGTTGCATGAGGAGCTCTGTGGGGCACTTTGCACACCAATCTGGAATTTGACCTTGTTTGACCTTCTTTGGCCCAAAGGTCATAACCCAAGATCTTCAAGTTTTGACACAAGCTAGTTCACATACAGGGAGGTCAGCCTTGAATTCGGTGGTTGTCGCTCTATTAGCTTTTTAGATCTCAGTGTATCGAATTAATCCCTCCCACCCGAGTGAAGGGCATTCAAAACGCCACCCAGGTGCGTGTCAAAATTGTCATGTTATTGGGATAGTTACATATGCGACACAACTGATTAGTGCTGGCCCGTTAAATTTCGTCGAAACTTTACTGTTTTGTTCAACTGGTGACTGGTTACATGTCGACAAAATCATTGCGTTGCACATTCAATACTTTGACCATTGTGCTTTGGCTTTCGCAGTCCTTACAAAAATTAACACGTATGCAAACTCAGGACAGATGGGCTTTTTGTTAGCCGGCAACTGCCAGTGACAAGTTTGCAACCCTATCATTTTACCAGCACATGGCCAGGCACCAGTGGTACATTATACAGGTTGTAATGAGATCGAATTATTCGGCACTTTGATTGTGTCGCATATGCGAATACCATGTCATGCCAACTTAACTGACGTCCATACCGCAACTTCCACATTTGATGAGATATTCACATACTTAGGAAGGACGCAATGAACACGGTGATGTAGCACGTACCACACATTACTAAGCGTGAAAACTTACACATCAGAATAGCCTTTGTCGTTTTTGAAAGTATATGCCTCTCCGACGACGACAAATGAGCTTTATGAACCTTCGCACCCGTCTCCACTGCTTTGTATCAACAGCCTACAGTAGAAATACGCTTGCAATAACTATCCAACCTCAATACTTAGAACTTTGTGGCGCTGCTGGCGTGTTTACCGTTTTGGCGTTTCCACGGGTCTCAATGTGACGTGTTATTTGTAGAAGTGAGCTACTAGAGTATGATATATATATATATATATATATATATATATATATAGTATGATAATTAAAAATATAATAATAATAATATGTATTATATATATATATAAATTTTACAGAATATAGAATATATAAGAATATTCGTTCGTGTTCGTTTCATTTGTCAACGTTTCAGCAGCCCTTCAGCACCCAGGTACATGTGATCTGGGCCTGAGCAGGGCCTCGGATGTCTTATTCACTTAGCCTGCGCAATTCAGCGCCTGTTGAGCGCCGCTTCCGTTCGGAAAAGCGCTCGGTGCTTTGCGGTAGGAGTTCTTGGGCCGTTCCCGTGCAGAAAACGCATGTCGACATGACATTGGAAGCAGCAAAAGGGCTAGCCCATTCCACACGCAATCCTGAGCTTGCGGCTACGCAGAGTCAGCACGGCAATCCGTGACCTGACGTCTTGAGTTGGGTGCCATTAACGCGGATATCAGTTTCATATTTGTTTTATTTGTTTTGTGTTGGCTTGTTTTCGGTTCGCTGACGAGTCTAAGTCGGCGAATTCCGGATGCTGCTCGTGCATGTCGGCTTAACAAGAGTTTAAGTCGTGGCAGGGCCTCCTAGTTAAGTAATTCCCATGTCATGCCTTTGGAATTCCACTTTGTCCACTTCGCCGTGCCTCGTCTGTGAAACGCACCATGTCGACCTCGATGAAGGAGACCACGGCGGCAAGTAAACGGATTCCGATGCTGAAGGTCTTTCCATCTCTTGATGTGTTGCGGAGGGAGCTGGTGCCTCCAGTATCACCTGATCAGTGCCAAGAAGCGTGCAACCGGATATACGGATAGATGGAAATTTCTGGAAGGATGTTAAGGATGCCAAACAGAACGTCCCCGCATCGATAGGCTCCAGGAGCGGTTTGACGCGGGGGATTTAGGCACGCTATTAACTTTCTCCGCGACTGACCGCAAGTCAGACGCAAAACTGAGCACACTCACACAAGGGCGTTGAACTCAACCTAGCACAGAAAGTATTGTTGGCAGTTCAGTCTCAATTTGGTGGACCGGTTGCCCCAGCTTCCGTAGCTTGGTGTCAATGGCTTTGGCAAATGGACATGTTCGTGCTCTCAGCTTCAAGACCCACCTCCGCCCATACATTATTCGACACTGCTCTGATGCGTGGCGCGACGGATTAGCAAGCCGAAACGCGCCGAAAACAAGCCTATCTCATGCATACTGCGCTGCCCTGGTGGACTTCACGGTTGGCTGGGCCTGCCGCGATGGAACGCTGGCAAGCGCCACGTCTTAGGGGCCGTCCATATATTACGTTGCGTGTGGCGGGGGACGGAGGTTGACGGCCAGAAATACCTACAGTGCTACATCAGGATGTTGCCCTTCGTAATTCAAGGAAGCCACGTCTACATACTGCTCCATGCGGTC